AGCCAGCTAATAATTGCTTCACATTTCTTCAGAAAAATTCTTAGTGCTATTCTCAGGAGAAAACAAAGCTGATGTTTAATAGTTTTGTGAAATCTTATTAGGTGAGGTTCTAATTTAGATGCAGACAATGAATGTGTCAGTTACCCCAGGGACCATTTAGTTCATTTAGTTTTCTTCTTCACCTAAGTCTTCTTCATGTAGTATACATTTGGATCATAATGGACATTTTAAATTACTGTAGTTCAACATTTCCTACAGACTTCAGTAGGTAATGATGGACAAATAAGGGCTGAAATGCTCAGTTCTCAAAAATAAACAAACTGCCCATTTTGAATAAAAGACATACCTTTCTGTGGGCAAAGGTTTCCAACCCTGAGTGTGAGAGCCAGCTACTTCTACTTGCCAAGAATCTTTGACACATTAATCTTGTTACAGAGAATTTTTTCAACCTCTCCAGTGTTTGCACAAGAAAAATGAAGTACAGAAGTTTTCAGAAATGGGAAACAATTGTGTTGAGCCCCGTATTATCAGAGGAATGAATTTGTCAGTCTATAGAAGAGTGATTCTTACTGATTGAGTGTATAAAAGGGAATCTTCTCTCTCTTGTTTGTGAGAAGTTGGAAATAAGAGACACAACTACAAGTCACATATTACTCATCAATTAATTAGCAAGTATTTGCTGACCCCCTGCTTTGAAATATGTGATTTGCAGAACAAGGGGCTTAGGGCATTTATAATGATACAGGAAGAAAAGAGGAGAAGATGTACTCTTCTCACATGAAAAAACTTATGAGAAAGTCAGGTAGAAAAGCATACCCATAGAAAGCCTGCAAACAATTCAAGATAGTGCATAGTAAGCAGAAAATGAGAAGAGTGGATAATCCAGTCATAAAAGTCAGACAGTTTGGGAGAAAGAAGGGGAATTATGAAGATCTAGATTGGTCAGCAAAAGCTTCATCGAGATGATACTTAAGCTGGAATTTGGGAGGATTGGATTCAGATGGATGGAAACTCTGGATTGGGCATGAAGAAAGGAGGGAAATGGGAAAGTAATTGAGAATTTAGGAATGGGGCTAAAAGTAGTCTATGTGGGCACTTCATCACGGAAAGATTCACATTCTGTTTTATTCTATTTTTCCACAAACTTTTTGAAGTACCCTTGTATCTTTTGAATATAATTGAAAGTTGACAGCTTATTTTTTCAGAGGGCAGCAAGTAGAAGATGATCTATGCAAAATGATCCTGGAAATAAATCTGGTGATAACTTAAAATAGCCATCATATTTAATTTTTCTAGATAAGGCTCGTTAGCAAAGAACAGAAGCCACTCAAACAGCTCAAGTGAAGAGGAGATGGGAGTATTGTAAGATTATAGCAGGAGATTTCTTGTGCATTCAAAAGTAGTTCATGCACCAGAAACCATGCCCTCTGTATTACTTAGGGCCATATAATCTCAGCTTCTCCTATTAAGGCTGTCTCATTCTTTCTCTTTCTCTCAATCCATTTACTCTGCTTATTCATCTTCTACATGGCTAAATATGGCTTCCCTGATCCCTTCCCTGATATCAAAATCTTTTATTTCCAGCATCTATCATTGACTAATTATATTCTCTCTATTTTTCAGGTTAAATGATTAAGAGAAAGAGACTCTTTAGGAGCTGGCCAGGCAGTTCATTGGCTGGTTTAGATGAGGTATTCACTCCAATCCAACCAGCCATCACCCCTAAGCAGGAACTACTCAGTTGTGTCTCCCTGCATTGGGAGCTCTGGGCAGAGCAGCCTAAGTCAGAAGAAGAAATAGACCGATATGTTCCATACTCTGCAGAACCATTATACTTGCATGGAACATCTGGTATATTCTATATACATTTGAGAAACATCTGGTCTGTTTTTCTGCCACTAGGAAGAATTTACCCAAAGCTTCAATCTGAAAGAGCTGTAGTATCCTGAAAAGCATTGGTCCTAAATTGAATGTCGACTCCACCACCTTCTAAATTATCTGAGCTTCAATTTCCCACCTGCAGAATGGGGATAATAATGCCTACCTGTTGGGGTTGTCTGGAACATAAATGAGATAATATAGATGCCATTCTCTGTTTGGCACAAGGCAAGAGTTTAGTAGACGGGATTTCTTTCACTTCTTTGATATGCTATGATTATTCCATACAGAAAATTGTTTGTAACGTATTTTTACTTATTTTTAATTGCACAAGTGATATATGAATATATCAATATTTTAAAGCTAAATCGAAACATTATATTATCTCACTGATAAATATTTTAGCATGTATCTTTAATAAACTAGGTCTTTTAAGAAACACACAGCCATAAACCATTACCACACTCAATACATTAAAAATAGTGCCTTGTTATCACCAATACTACATCTATGTTTGATTTTCCTCAGTAGTTTCAAAAATATCTTTTTATGATTCCTTTGGTTGAATCAAAATCCAAAAGAGGTTGACACATTGCATTTGGTTGATATGTCTTACACATCTCAGTCAGTCTATAACCATTCTCCCTGTTTTTCTATGTCATGTATTTGTTGAAAATATGGGGTCATCATTCCAGTAGAATTTTTCAATTCAGAATTTGGCCGATTGTATCCTCATGGCATCATTTATCAGGTTCTTCTATCACCACATTTCCTGAAAACTGGCACATAAATCTACAGGCTTAATTAGATTTGACTCAAATTATTTTTCTGGCAAGACTATAAAGGAAATTTTTTATACTACCTTTATACTACCTTTAATGTTTTAAAAGTTGTGAATTTGAAATAGCAGCTCAATCATTCCCATGGCACTTTGCACTAGGAACATACGATTCCCAAGAGAGAAAGAAATAAGCCATTCACTGTGGTTTCTGACTCGTGCATGAGTGAATCACCTTGACTCAGAGCTAATGGTACTTATGACTGCTATTTGACAGAAAATGCAAATAGAAGTCACAGTTACCATTTTATTTCTAATAAATTTATTAGAGATATTATTAGTCATATGCATCTTTTGGCTGAAGATCTTCATATGCCTTTAGTTAAAGATATAAATTCCTTTCCTAAATTCTAAGCTAGGAATAAAAATGTTGAAATGGCTAATGAGGTCTAATCAACATGGAAATAAGTGGAAAGCAATGTTTACCCATCACTTACGACCATGATATAAAATAGTATCATAGGTAGAACCCAGTTAAAACACAGTGTTTTCAGCAATGAACACCCTCACATTTCATTGGTTTCAACTTATATCAACTTTCACACTATAGCAACTCATGTTCAATTGAACAAACATTTGTGGAGTGTGTGCAAAACACAGGGCTGGCAGATGCCAAGACGGAAAAAGACATACTCTTTGTCCACCAGAGGCTTATCTTCTGGTGGGTTCCCAGACCAGTGCACACAGATACTTGTGCCTTTGTCTTGTGGCCCACCATGCTAGGCATTGTCTGGGGAGTTGTGGCAGACACGAAGATGTGCTGCTCAGATCTCCCTTGCAGAAGAGACTCGCCCAGCTTCAGGGAGTGTGGTTAGCTGAAGCCTCCAACCATCAGCTCATTCAGGGTCCACTTCAGCTTTCAAGCTCTGGTCATGCTCTCCTGGGTGGCTCCTGCCCAGTGACTGAACCATGCAGTAAGTGAGATCACATTCTTCTTGGGACCACCCTAGCCAATGACTAAGCAAAGTGATGATATGAGGGCCTGACCATTTCCACCCAAGGCAAGACACCTCAACTGGGCAATCTTTGCTCCTAAGCTTCCCATTGGGTTGGTATAGGGTAACCAACTGTCTCAGTTAGCTGGGACTAAGGGTTTTCCCAGGATGTAGGACTTTCAGTGCTAAAACTGGAAAATTTCCAGGCAAACCAGCAAGGTTGGTGACCCTTGCTGGTGTAGACCTTTCCAGGTCTCCATTAAGATCTGACAGCTCCCTTTGCCCAATCCTGCTTCCTTCTTCCCCTTTTATCTTTCACAGGTATTACTCCCCAATAAACCTTTTGTACTCCTGACTTCATTCTCAGTGTCTGCTTCCCAGAGCACTCAACGCAAGACAGGGGCACAAATAGCTTACAAACCAGAAGGACGTAAATTATTCAAGAGAAGATAAGGCTGAAAGAGACGAGGAGGGCAAAGGAAAGGTTAATTTGACAATTACAGGTATCCTCCTGGGTATAACTTTTTCAGTGGACCATTCATTCTGCATTCTTTTAAAGAGAGAAGAGGCATATTGAAAATACTCAATGACTTAAGGTTCCTTGAACTGTATTTAAGTACTCGAGATGAAGATTTTGCCAAAAAGAGCCAACCTTCTTATCCCTGTGTCCCTCTTTAAACAGCAGCATGCTTTGTTATTAATTTTTATGGTTTGAGAAGAAAAACAAAAGGAGCTTTAGCTTTTCTGAGAAGTATTCTTAAAATCAAGAGAGAATGTTAATTCTATAATATGGTAACTATAGTTAATGACAATATATTGTATTCTGGGAATCACTGAGAGTCGACTTTAAGTATTCTCACCACAAAAATGGTAAGCACATGAGGTAATGCATATGTTAATTAGCCCAATCTAGCCATTCCACATTACATACATATTTCAAAATATCATGCTGTATATTATAAATATATACAATTTTAATTTGTCAGTTAAAATAAATAAATAACTTTAAAAATACCTCTGAACTGAGAAAAAGAGAGAATGTGGGCAGAATGGTACTGCTGGAGAAAGGAGAAGGCATCCTTCAGGGTCAAGCTAGGGTGAGGCAAGAGAGGGGCTTGGGGTACAAAATTTAAGGAGGCACTCACAGTTGGGGTCATGTGAGTTCAGAGTTGGCACTTTTGTGAACCTGAAATTGAGCCCCTCCTTAAATATAGCACCCCAGGTGCCTCACTTGCCTCACCCCATAATATGGATGATTGCCTCATCCGTACTGTTATGGATATCCTGGCGCTGGCCTCCATAATAATATTAGGCAACTTACACAGAATATTCCTTTTTTCCTAACCCAGGTACAAGGCTATTGTCCGGCCAATGGATATCCAGGCCTCTCATGCCCTGATGAAGATCTGCCTGAAAGCCGCCTTGATCTGGGTCATCTCTATGCTACTCGCCATCCCAGAGGCTGTGTTTTCTGACCTCCATCCCTTCCATGAGGAAAGCACCAACCAGACCTTCATTAGCTGTGCCCCATACCCACACTCTAATGAGCTGCACCCCAAAATCCACTCCATGGCTTCCTTTCTGGTCTTCTACATCATCCCACTGTCAATTATCTCTGTCTACTACTACTTCATTGCCAAAAACCTGATCCAGAGTGCTTACAATCTTCCTGTGGAAGGGAACATACATGTCAAGAAGCAGGTGAGTGCTTAGGATTGATTCATCTCCTCCCTGGTGACTTGGTCCCTTGCATTTCTTTGAGACTCCACTGACAAGTACAGTATTTAGGTGACCGTGTCACTTGATTTGGCAGTTAGAGGAAGTGGGTGATCTGTGGCCAGATGCCCTATGGAAACTCCTAACCACGGAAGCCCAGAAATTCAGGTGTTCTTTATAATCTTGTTCTAGGTGTTGAGAACCTGCAAGACTTGAAGTGTGGGTTTCTTTTTAAGGAATATCTGAAAAAGTGTGTGTGTGCATGTGTGTGTGTGTGTGTATGTTTAAATAAGCATTGAGGCTTATAGGGATATGACTTCTTTAAACTCCAATCACATAGTTTGGCTAGAAAGAGGGTTAACATGTGGAAACAGAGCAGACGGGGAGAAAAATGAGGCCCGTTTAAGAAAAAGAAGTAGTTTGATTAAGATAGGCTTACTATACTGATTGGGGCTCAAATCCAGGCTTCATGACTTACTTGCTTACCCTCTCTGATGACATAGGGTAATAATCCCTATATTGTAAGACTATTGGAGGATTCTAAGGAAGAAGCATATGTGAGGCCTAGAGTGCCCAGCTTAGAGGATGCCCTCCATATATGTTAGAAACCTTTCCCCATCCTGCATAACTCCCCCAATTTCATTCTTGAGGTACAAATGGTAGAAACCAAGGGCTCTGGCTTCTTCTCTTTGTCAGTTCTTCTTGCCAGATGTAGATCACGTGGTATTTATGATGAGAAAGCAGAGACTCTCCACCCCATTCAAATTAATAGCTGACTCACTTAGAGACCTCACCCTTTAAAGTTCATTTTTTGGCCTCAATTGCTGGGGGAGGAATGGCAGTTCTCAGTGAAACTGTCTCCCTACTTGACAGACCTCTCAGCAAACATCTATTGTAGTCCAAATTCTTTCATGAGAGACGTATTTCCCTTCGAGGTAGCAGAGGGAGTTGGAAGCAAGGAGAGGCTCGTCCCACTTTGTCTGAGAACCTGTGTGTATGGTACAGTCCAGTAATAACTTGAGATTACAGAAAAACAATAATAGGGACTTATCTTGGTTTGGCCCGTGAGGAAGAACAAAACCGGCTGCTTTTCTGAGCATCACAGAGAATAAGAAATTATTAATGGCAGTGCAAAGAAAGACATGAAGTTGTATAGCTGATAAACCGCACCGATGCTCTCCCAAGGAAAGAGAGGGCACTTACTAGAATTTCATTGTGCAGTGCATTCGAGCATGTAATCAACTTTGTCTAAAGATCTGTTCTCAGTGGCCTCTGCTAACTCTATTCTATATTTTGTTCTGTGGGTTTCTGCTTCCTGGCTTGTCTGTCTTGTGTTCGACTCTTTTTTCCCTCTTTTTCTGTTTCCGTTACTTTTCTCTTGTTTTATTGGATTCTCTCTTGTCCTCTTCTATTGTACTCTTTTTCTGTGGCTTCGTGAGCTCATCTATTTCCCTAATTGGTTTTCTCTGTCTCTTTCTCTCTGTCTGAATCTTTGTCTCTCTGCGTTCCTCTGACACTGTCCTTTGGTTCCTCTGTCTCTCTCCATGTGATTCTCTTCCTTAGATTGAATCCCGGAAGCGACTTGCCAAGACAGTGCTGGTGTTTGTGGGCCTCTTTGCCTTCTGTTGGCTCCCCAACCACATCATCTACCTGTACCGCTCCTACCACTACTCTGAGGTGGACACCTCCATGCTCCACTTCGTCACCAGCATCTGTGCCCGTCTCCTGGCCTTCACCAACTCCTGTGTGAACCCCTTTGCCCTTTACCTGCTAAGCAAGAGTTTCAGGAAACAGTTCAACACCCAGCTCCTCTGTTGCCGGCCTGGCCTGATAACCCGGTCTCACAGCACTGGCAGAAGTACCACCTGCATGACCTCCCTCAAGAGTACCAACCCCTCCGTGGCCACCTTCAGCCTCATCAATGGAAACATCTGTCATGAGAAGTACGTCTAGACTGACCCTCCTAGGGACTCCTGGTTTTTCTTTATGGCTAGCCAGGAACTCTCACGTCTGTTGTCTCTGTACCCTACAAAGACCCTTCAAAAGGCTGGTGAGTAGTGTAGGCTGGGGAGAGGCCCAAAAAGATCACTATTCTGTTTCAAAGTAAGCCATCAAGGCTTAGGTTTTCCATTTGAACTTGTGAACACTTCTTCTGATATAGAGCAAACCTTCCCTTTTTTAGAAAAGGGAACAAATAGGAAATTATTATTTTAAATATCAAAAATTATTATCTTAAAGCTCTGGTATATAGGTGTGGCCAATTAAGTCATAGAAACTATATGAATGACCAGATTTATATAGCAGAGCAATCATGCATTGAATGTCTGCTTTGGGAAAGACTTCACCTTGCCATTTCTTTAAACAGAAGCTAGTGCTTTCAAAATATGACTTTACTCCTTTTTTAAGGAATATCTACAATACACAAAACAAGGAACAACTTTTACACTCCTAACATGAAAAGTCAACCCCATGGGCCGGCCCGGTGGCGCACTGGAGAGTGCGCCGCTTGGGAGCATGGCGGCGCTCCCTCCGAGGGTTCGGATCCCACATACAGACCGGTTCCCGCTCACTGGCTGAGCGCGGTGCGGGTGCAACACCGAGGGTTGCGATCCCGTTACCGGTCAGTAAAAAAGACAAAAAGGAAAAAAAAAAAAAGTCAACCCCATAAAAGAGTCCCATGTGTGAGGAACAGTCTCCAAATTGATAATACTGGAAGCCAGTTTAATATAAAACAAATCCTGAAGGGTTGGTTTTTTTAAAAAGGTGTTACTGAGGACATAGGAGAAACACTCAATGTAATTTTAAGGCAAAAACACAACCAAACACTTATGCACATATGTAAAGATCCATGTGTGCTGTGGAGTGATATTTCACACTCTGAATTTTCACTCGGTGGGAATCCTGTTTGCTGTTACCCAGTTTTAATCATCCATGGTGCCATTCCACCATAGAAGAGAAATCCTTTTAGGGAAAAAAATTGATTATGCTATCATTCATCAAATATTTATAAATGCATAAAGTATGATATTTATTCTTGGTATGTAGGTTGTGAGTCAAGTATATTTACTTAGATTTGGCAGTCCTTGTCTGCCACATTGAAGCAGTAATTTCAATATAAGGAAGAAGGGATCGTATCTGAGTGGAAATAGAAACATGTTTACATTTAATGTATGCTTCCCCTAAAGTTCGTGGCAGAAGATGAAAAAAATTTCAGTAACACGCATTTCTGTCTCAACAGATATGAGAAAGTTGCAGAGGGCTTAACTTTAACTGATTAAAAAAACAGCTACAGATTTGTTTCTTCTTAGGAAGAGTATTTATGAAATAGCCCATGTGCAGAAAAAAACTGAACTGAAATCTTTTTCTTTTTCTAAATGAGTAAAATTGGCTCTAAAAAGATTTGACTACCTTATTTTAGAAACCCTGAATCGAGTTTTTCTTGATTCAAAGAAAAGCCAATTCTGACAGACTGCAAACATTCACCCACTTTCAGATAAATCCAAATTCTTCAAATGTGCCCTAATCCCTTACATCCTAAGACAATTTTAGTTTGGGTTTTCTCTATCTAGGCGAGATAGGAATAGTCAGCTCTCTTTTCCATATGGCACATATGAAAAGATTTTTGTCTCTTGACATGAGGAAGTGCTCACTATCTGCAGAGCTTTAGAAATTAGGACCAAGACAGTTGTAGAGATCTGTGTTTACAATTGTATCAGCTGTATTTAATTCTGCTTGCTATCCGCTCTATGTACTGTACACACCAGCTTTCCTGGTAGTTCATAATTACGTTGCAGAGTTTGAAAAGCAAGACATTGTAACTGAAAGAACCAAGATTTCTGGCTTAACATCCCAACTCTGCCTCTAGCTCTCTGACTCTGGCTACCAGTTTCCCTTCTCTAGACTCACTTTTTCTTCTCTAGAATGAGAAGATAGTGCAAAGGTGTCCTCTGTCACTAACATTCTCTGAGTCTTTTCATCATTTCTAGCTGTCTCAAAAGCATTTAAGTAGCCCACTTGCCACAGCTACCCCTCTTCTGCTTACCAGTTTCCCTTCTCTAGACTCACTTTTTCTTCTCTAGAATGAGAAGATAGTGCAAAGGTGTCCTCTGTCACTAACATTCTCTGAGTCTTTTCATCATTTCTACTGTCTCAAAAGCATTTAAGTAGCCCACTTGCCACAGCTACCCCTCTTCTGCTATCCTTGTAACAACTACTCTTTGGAAATCTTCCTATTCCGTACTTACGTTCACATAGGCAGTATGAAAGGAGAGAGACCATTCTATTGCTTCCAGGTTCCTTGGAAAAATTTGCATGAATGATGTTCTACAAGCTTGCTATGTTTTGGAATTAGAGCTGAAAGAGACAAAAAAAATGGACTGCTCCATCTCATTATACAAAGGGTACCCTTCCTGTTCGCTCTTCTTCAACCTCCATACACCTGTTGTCGTGAATTACTCTTCCAGAATTTTGCCCTTGGTTTTCTTCAAAACCCTTGAAAAGAAATGACTCCATGCCTGGTTAATTGCTAGTGTGTATAGCATTCCACATACCTAGCATGACTTGTTCAAGCATCTCAAATCTACCTGCTTCCAAAAACAGGGTAGGACTCCTCTTCATGACTCCTTCAATTACAGTCATGGCATTGATTGTGTCTGGTGGTCTCCTTCCTAGCTCCTGGACAGAGACTGAGGAGATAGAGGTCTAGGTGTAGCTGTGTATCCTTAGGCAAATCTTATTACTTTGAGACTCTTAAATGAAAGGGCTAGAGGAAGCTTTTGACAGCCAGTAACCGAGGAGTGGTCAAACTATTTTGTGAATCAACTAATGAGTTGACTCAGACCTTCTTACTGGGATGGAATTTGCCAAGCCCTTCTCTAGGGAAGCCAAATTTTTATTCCACCTCAAGAACCTAAAATCACATAAGAGTGACCCAAGCCCCCACATGGTTTCACCTCTCTGTCAGGGGAGAGTGTGGCAGGGGCTGAAGCTGAGACATTTCACGCCTGGTTTCCAAAGATAATCACGTTTAGCGCTTATGTCTTTGGCGAGGAAAAAAATCAATTTTTGCTCTGGAAAACCATCTGTGTTTATTCAATTGACTGACACTACCTTTCAATCCATCTTAAATTGAGACTCCCTGAGGCAGGCAGCTCAACAGTGATAGATTAAGCAATAAACAAAACAGCCTTCCCACCAACGGCTGTTGCTGGCAGGGAAGGTGCAGCTGCTATTGGGAGTGGTATTCTATAGCAAGATGATCCTCCCTGCTTAGAACAGACAAGGCCCCTCCCTGTTGTTGATTGGATGATTCCCCATATATGTGGGTGGCTAAAACCCTGTCCTTCTGGCTGCCCTCATTACCCCACCGAACCTGGCCTTCTGCCTCATTACCAACTCCCTCTTTGCCCCACAGTTTGGTTTTATCTTGGAGGATGGAGAACCCTTAGGTAAATACACTATTTAGAAGCTGCTGCAGATGAACCAAGCTCATCCTGTGATGAAAATGCACACTGAGCAGAAGTAAATGAGCGTGACTGTAGCACAAAAGCTTACTTGGGTTATAAAGTCTTTGTTTATGCCAAAAGTAGCAGTTGGTTATTGGTTTCAGAGTCTCTTCACGCACCAAATGGCTTCTGGTAATAGAGATTAGCTTTGTTTGAGGACGACGCATTCAATGGCATCTTCGTCTGTGGACTAAAAGGTGGCTAAGTCCCTTTTCCCAGAAGCCAGATAGAAACGATTGCCCTGAAAACCAGACTGTATGAGAGTTGAATAAATAGTATTCATGTGCATCATGGTGAGATGGGAGGATGCAAACTTTCTTCCATGTGTCCTCACATCCATGCCAAGAGTAAGCTGTTGTGAGAGTAGCTTAAAAATAGCCCTGGGTTTCTGGGAGAAATACAGCACATTTTGCACATTTGTCTAATTTTAGGCCACATTTGCATGAAATGAATTAACAGCTGAAAACAAAGGAATTCTTCACTCTCATGGGACCAAGTTTTGTGCGCACTATTCAATGAAACCAGGCCTTAACAGACTCTACTTTATTCTGTATCTGGGTGGTCATTCTGCTTAGCTCCCACCTGGACCCCCACCACCACCACCAGGACAAACATACAACAACTTTAATATCACATTTTGTCCTTCAAAGACACCCTTTGTTAGTAGGGGGGATGAAGGGGTGGAGAGCATTAACTCCAGCAGAAAATATCCAGAGCAATCAGCAAAGAGCACATTGAGACTTTTCTCTCATAAAAACTCGTGTTAGAAATACATTCAGTGGGGCCGGCCCGGTGGCGCACTGCGCTAGTGCGCCGCTTGGGAAGCGCAGCGACCCTCCCGCCGAGGGTTCGGATCCCACATACAGACCGGTTCCCACTCACTGGCTGAGCGAGGCACGGGGGCAACGCTGAGGGTTGCGATCCCGTTGCCAGTCCCAGTCCGGTACAGGGGCGACACTGAGGGTTGCGATCCATTGCCGGACACGGAAAAAGACAAAAAAAAAAAAAGAAATACATTCAGTGGAATTTATCTAAATTATTTTAAAAGTTTCAGTGTTGCACTTACATCAAATTTAAGAGCCCCTGGGTTAGAATATGACATGTCCATTATTAATTCAAAAAAAATACTCTGCTTTGCCTAGTGTTCATGGTCTATAAAGCACTTTTATACCATTACATCATCTAATCCAAGCCTTCCATGCTGGCCAAAGAGCTGCTTTACATCCTCTACCATGGCAATTTGTAAATATTAAATTCACTTTCTAGTGATGATCTACCATTAGATTAAAAGGCTCATAGAACTATGAGGCTGAAACATGAAACTATCAATATTGGACCACATTTGACCTACGAAAAGGTGATTTCATCTGGTTCAACTTAATCTGATTTCATTTTATTCTGACGTGAACTAATCATGCTTCAGTCTTATGGCTTGTTCTGTGATATTGAACAGTGCTAATCATCGCTTCCCCAGTTTAAGAATATTCTGTTGCCCACGAAGCGAGTCTGTTTAACTTGGCACAAGGGAGTGAACAGCATCATTGTTGGCTGCCCCAGGACATGCAGATTAGTGGGAACAACATTCCATGTCACAAAGAAGTGGAAAGCTAAGACAGAGAAGGGCAGGATCCTTGGGAACAAAAACAAAAGCCACG